AGGGCGGAGGGACAGCGCAGGGGGGGAAGGCCCTCTATGAGGTGGATTGATTCAGTGACTGGGATAATTGGGATGGGAGTGTCAGAGACAGTGCGGTTGGCACAGGACAGAGCAGAGTTTAGGGCTGTTGTACATAGCGTCGCTATGAGTCACAAGCAACTCGATGGCACATAACAACAAACAACAACATATTCCAAGCAACAGCTAGCAGTTTTTTTAAGTTAAATCAACTTTCAATTTCATCTTGAAAGTCAACATCTTGCTAGGACTTTCTTTTTTTCTCTCTTTTAAGGTTTTCTTTTTTTGTAGGTTTGCATTTAATAATTCATTTACATTGTGTTTCATTCATATACATTGTGTTTTATACAATCTTTCATTTACATTATGTTTCATACGGTTGTTTCTGTATTGTTGTTAGGTGGCATTGAATCACCTGCAACTTGTAGTGACCCTATGTACAACAGTTCTGAACTCTGCCCTATCCTGAGCTAGTCTCACTGACTCCAACACACCTAATCCCATTGCCCCATTTATCATGTCAGTCTCTCACCTGGGTCTTCCTCTCCTGTACTATCCCTCCACCCTTTTAAACATGATGGCCTTCTTCAAGGATGAGTCACTCCTTCCCATGTGCCCAAAGTATGCGAGATGAAGCTTCAAAATGCTTGCCTCCAAGAAAAAACTTGGTTTCATCCTCTCCAAGACAGAACTATTTGTTCTCCTGGCAGTTCAGGGTATGTACAGTACTCTTCTTCGGCACCACACTCAAAGGCGTCAAATATTCTTTTGTCGTCCTTAGTTATTATCCACCTCTCTGACGCACAGCTTGTAATTGCAAAGACCATGGCCTGGATTAAGTGCACCTTAGTCTCTAGACTGACATCATTGCTCCTCAGTGCTCTGAAGGGTCCATAACAGCAGATTTTTTCAGTGAAGCTTATCTTTTGATTTCCTGGCTGCTGATATCAAGAATGTTGATTGTGGAGCCCAGCAAGCTGACACTGTTAACAATCTCAATCTCTTCTCCATCTATCACGGTGCTCCCGATTAGCCAGAGCATTTTTGTCTTCTTGATGTTTCAGTCAACATTGAAGACTACAGTCCTTGAACTTCTGCAGCAAATGCCTCAGGTCCTGCTCACTTTCAGCAAGGAAGTTTGTGTCATCTGCATAATGCAGGTTTTTTTATGAGTCTTCCTCCAATTGCTCCTCATAGAGTCCAACCTCCTGAATAATCTGTTTCCAGTTATAGATTGAAAAGACTTGAAGATAGGATACATCCCTGGTGTACATCTTTCCTGACTTTGAACCATGCAGTGTTTCCTTGTTCTATTCTGATGGCTGCCTCCTGGTCCAAGTATTGGTTTTGCATAAACACAATCATTCATATATATTGTGTTTTATATAATTAATTATTAAAGATTTATGCCTATTATTACCCGTCTTTTCAACCTCAATTGATTCTTTTCTATTCCTTCACCACCAGTTCCCAATCTACCCACTAAATTCTGCTGTCCTAGTAATTTTCACCCTCCCCCGTTTTCCCTTTCCCTTCTGGTCATTCATACACATCTTACTAGTTATCTTTTTATGTTTACTATAGCGTTCTTATGCAGTATTTGTCCTTATGAGACTGAGTTAGTTTATTCAGCATAATGCTCTCTAGACTCTCTTATGTTATATGGTATTTTAAGAAATTGTTATTCCTTACTTCTGCAGTAGTATTCCATTGTGTGAATGTACCACAATTTCTCAATCCATTTATTTTTTTAATGGGCATTTGGACTGTTTCTGTATTCTTGCTATTATGAATAACATGGCTATGAACATAAGTGAACATACCTCCATTCTTGTTTTAGTTCTGATTTCCTTTAGAACTAAAGGGTACATTCCTAGTAGTGGAATAACTGGGTCATATGGAATTTCTATGTTCAGCTTTTTGAGGAAATGCTGAACTGCCTTCCAGAGCATTGTACCATTTTACAATTTCAACAACAATGTATAAAAGTTCTTACCTCTCTATATCCTCTCCAACATTTATAACTTGGTGTCCTGTAAACTTGGCCACAGCTACTAGTGAGCATTTCTTCATGTGTCTGTTGGCCATCTGACTGTCTTCCTCTGTGAAAAGTCTTTCCATGTCTTGTTCCCATTTTGTTATTGTGTTATCAGTCCTTTTGTTGTAGAGGCCCTGTAGGATTCTGTAAACTTTTGATATGAGATCTTTGTCTGAGATGATATTACCAAATTCTTTTTTCCCCATTCAGTGGGTTTTCATTTCACTCTGTTGGATCAAAAGTTTTTTATGTGCACAGGATTTAATCTTTAGAAGTTCCAATTCATCAGTTTTGTCCTCTCTAGATTGTGCATTTCTAGCTGTATTTGGCAGTCTCTTATACCGTAGACTAGGCCCTCTAAGCTTGATCCCAGTTTGTCTCTGATGATCTTTATGGTTTGGGACTTTACTCCCAGGTCTCTGATCCACTTTGAGTTTATTTTTGTGTCTGTTGTGAGATGTGGGTCCTGTTTCAGCTTTCTGCAGGTTACAGTCTAATTTTGCCAGCACCATTTGTTAAAAGATTGTCATTTCACCATTTGATAGGTTTTATACACTCACCCCTCTTGCCATTAGCAAATATCATAAATTTAGTGTTTTCATAGAGCATCTCAGAACCTTCATGTACACACAGGTCTGTGCTGAGTGAGCAATAGCAAAGACAGTGACAACTCCTAACCCAAAAATGGCTTTTTATATTTAAGTAACTATATTTTAACTAAAACTATGTGTCATCTTTCCCCTCAATCACATCCCTTCATTCAAAAAAAGAAAGGTCTTAGGGATCCTGCCATACTAACAAGTGCAGAATCCCTGGGACTGTTGTAGATTCTCAGTGAAGCTGTGTTTTTCTGTTTGTTTTAAATAGGAGACTTTCGGATGGTGGTTGGAGAGGATAAGACAAAAGTGTTTAACATCGTGAAGCCCAACATAGTTCATTTTCGTGGTCTGTACGGCAGCATACTACAGGAGAATCCCCAGGTGGTGTATAAACTGCATCACGGTCGACTGGAGGTAAGCAGTATGAGGAAAATAACTTCTAGTATTTCTAAGGAAGAGCTAGTTTGAAGAAACAGGTAAAATAGTGTGAGGACAGTGATGATAGCTGCAGAAGGTCAAGGACTACAACTTTCAATATGGATTAAGGCTCAATATCAAGAAGACAAAGATTCTCACCACTCGGCCAATTGGCAGCATCAATATGGATGGTGAAGAGATTGAGATTGTTCACAGCTTCAGTTTGCTTGGCTTTACAGTCAACACTCTTGGCACCAGCAGCAAGGAAATTAAAAGATGTATTGCAATGGGAAAGTCTGCTGTTAAGGACCTCTCCAAAGTACTTAAGAACAATAGTGTCATTCTAGAAACTAAGGTGTGTCTGATATAGGCCATGGTCTTTGCAGTCACTTGTTATGCATCAGAGAACTGGACAATGACTAGGGATGATAGAAGGAGAATTGATGCCTTTGAGCTGTGGTGCATGAAGGCTCTTATGTGCTCTATGACAATACTACAGTTATTATACTTTGGGCATGTTTCCAGGAGAGACCAGTCGTTGGAAAATATTATCATGCTTGGAAGGGTAGAGGATCACAACAGGAGAGGAAGACCTTGGATAAGAAGAATCAACGCAGTGACTGTGACATTGGGGTTAGGTGTGTCAGAGACAGCAAGACTGGCTCAAGATAGAGCAAGATTCAGAGTTACTGTTCATAGGGTCACTACGAGTTATAGTCAATTCTATGCCGCATAACAACAGCAACTACTAGAGAAGTGTAACAGCAGTCCTAGCTGCCGATGACCAAGGCCAGTTACTTCTGCCATTATGGTGACTCCTTTCCTTGTCTGCTGGGCTCATAGCATGGATTCTTGGTACTTAAGAGGTCAAGTGTGATTATGTGGCAGTCATAGTTTAAAACTTTATGAAATGCTTACTTTACACTCTGGCAGAAGCATTCCTCCTCTGGAAACTAGGACCTAAGGGGGACAAGAAGTACAAATTTTCCAAGTAAGTTACTGTTGTTGTTGTTGTATACCATCAAGTTGGAACTGACCCATAGCTGACCCCCTGGCATATATTCAGAGGCAATCGCACAGGAGGAGATTGCCCATACTTCTACAGAGTAGCTGCTGAACTCAAACCACGTGCCTTCAGGATTGCAGCACAGCTTCTTGGCACTAGGCCACCTTCTTCCTCCCTGATTCCCAAACCTATGTATTTATCAATTAAGATTGATAAATAGCACCATTTAGTGATGGTTAATTTAGGATGTATCCGATATCTTTGAGGGAGACTCCCCTCATCCTTTCATTGTGTTGTCTCCAGCCTGGTACCTCTGCTGTCCCCCCCTTTCCTCTGTCACAAGAGCACTGCCAACGTTTTAGACTAGATCTAATTGGGAGATGATTGCCCCATACGTTGTAGACTCCCCCACCCATTAGTAGCACTTCCCCACCCCAATTATAACAATCTAATGTGTCTTCAGACATTGCCAGAATCACCCCATTTGAGAACCACTTTTTGTGCAGTGTGTGATAGGAACAGTGGAGCAATGGTCTTATCCCTGGCCACATCTCTTTCCTCTAAAGTTTTATAAACCTATGTGGAAAATTTCCATAAGCCCTTAGCAAATGGTTGTCCTGAAAGTAGAGTAGACAGTCACTTCTCAGAAAGTGTGTCACTTCCAGTCAAGGGAAATGATCCAAGGGTGAATGCAGTACACATTTTTGAGGGACTCTATTTCCTCTAAAACGTCCTCCAGAAGCAGCCCCACAGGAGCCTCCTTGTAGCATTGTGTGACCAATGTGGGGCAGGAGAAGCTTCATGTGTTGGGGGGTCTATACCCCTTGCCCATGCAGCTATCTGTGCCCTCTGGCCTTACTCACATTCTATCCTGGCATGTTTCCTCACCTCCCAGTGGATTGCTGGCCAGCTGGCCCTTCCTTGGGAACTGGTTAATCTGACAAATCTGCCCCTGATGGCCTCTCTGACTTCATGGCATTTTGGTGTCCCATCATCAACAGCTCTGTCTCTGCCAGGGCCCAGTACTCATGAGGTTATTTTCAAATGGCATGTGGTTCTCCACTGCAGATGGCATGGCTATGTTCCAGCTCCATGGCCATCCACACTGTGGTTCTCCCTACCAGGTGTGCACCATAAGCTACACATACCTATCCTTTACTCTTCATATTCCTCTAGTACCTTGGGGTCACAAGGTGCTAGGGCTACTTCTCTCAGACCCTTTCTTCCTTGTGTAGGCCCTTTCTTGTCTCTTTGTACATGAATCTGAGTCTTATTGCCAGTCGTGGAATATGTTGCCTTCAGAACCTGAAAAGGCCAGCCATTTGGTGATGGAAAGCATGGAATAATGTGGCCTTTGCATTTGAGGGCTGTCTTTCAAGGCTACTCAACACCTAGGACCTTTGCTGACACAGTAGGCCACTGAAACGCTATTTCAGAATAAGAACATGTCTCGCCCTCTGGAGTGCACATGTCTTACCAAGGCCACCGGTACACTTGCCCTTATTGTACACTATATGACAGTAACAATGACATTGATGTAGTGGACTAATGTGATGTTGTAGTGAATGTCTCAAAAGTCGTTTTACTTTGGATGCTTTATAACAGATAGTGCAAGAGTTAGCATAGCCATGAGCAAGACCATAGGATCCAATTGTCTGTCCCATATTAATTTGAGATATTTCTGGCCTGCCTTCCTAATGCAGCTTGGAAAGGACATTTTGACCTAGGCTGAGGCCCTACCAGTATATCAGCACAAACTCTCACCAGGCTGACACCGCAGATGCAATTGGGACGGCTATCTGTAGGAGTTGATGCTAGTCTGCCGGGACCCACTGGTTTTTCTAAGGGCTGTACTGGTACATTCAATGGTGATACAGTGGGGCTGCCACCTCTCCATCCTTCAGGTCCATTAGTCATACTAGGGAGCTCTGGGGGCCTAGTGGGTAAGCTTGGGATTAGAATCTATCAACTGCTCCAAGGATGAAATATGGACAATGTCCTCTCTGATTTACAGCCTCTGAAAACCTGGAGGGTTAACTATGAGTCAGTTCCAAATCAAGAGCACATAACAGTAACAAGCATAGGATCGCCTGAGCTCTTCTAGCCTGTTGTTGTATGCTGTCAAATCGCCTGTGACCCATAGCAACCCTATGTACAGTAGCTCAGAACCCTTCCCTGTCCTGAGCCAGTCTCACTAATTCCAACACACCAACTCCCATTTCACTAATTACTGTATCAGTCAATCTCATCAGGATCTTCCTCTTCTGCTCTGTGCCTCCCCATTCTGAGCATGATGTCCTACTCCGAGGCCACATTCCCAAGTTATGTGAGATAAAGCTTCAAAATCCTAGCCTCCACAGAGAAATTTGGTTTCATCCTCTCCAAGATAGACTTATTTGTTTTCTTGGTGATCTGTGGTGTACAGTATGCTAATCTCTGCCATTCTTCCTAGGGTGCAACTTTGTTTTTTATTTACTCTCTTGACTATTGAACAAGAGTGGTCACTTCAGAGGCCTCCCCTTGACTGTGCACAATATGGTGGCCTCAAGTTAGAGTAAGTTTTTAGGATTCCTAGCATTAGTTGTTTGAGGTTGGGATTGGACATATGTGGAAGGCAGGCCTCACTTAATCTTGTAATGGCATTTTGGAGCTAGGTGGCACTTCAGCTTGTCCCCACTTGGGACAAAGAGCCCCAAGAACTTATACTCCTGCATTCTCTAGTTATTGAATAGAGGCATCTCCTTTTACTGAGGACAGTTCTGGGAGAGATTCAGCCATCTTTCTATCAGTTGGTGAAATGTATGCCTTGGTCTTGAAGGCAGGATCTGGGGCATGTACCACAATATCCATTGTATGGATTATAAACAGTCATGGGACTGCTTCTTTTGTGTTATTTCTATGATATATAGCTCACATGGCCTTAAATTCACCCTTGTAAAGTACACAGTGCAGTGTCTTTTAGCATATTTACAAAGTTGTATCTAATTTTAGAATACTTCCTTCTTCAAAAAAGAAACCTTTAGGACGAAAACCAAGGACTATAAACTTCATTAAAGAAAAGCTTGGAAGAACTCTAGTAATCCTAATCCACAACATAAACAGCCTTCCAAGTATCCTGAAGAATCTACAACCAGGAGAAGAAAAAAAATAGATGAATGGGACCTTCTAAGAAGCAAATCTCTGTGCACATCCAAAAACTTCTCCAACAGGGGAAAAACAGGCTGGGAAAAAGTATTTGGTAATGACATGTCAGATAAGGGACTTACATCTAGAATCTATAAAATACTTGAGCACCACAACAAGATAAAGGTAAGTAATCCAATAAAAAAATGGGCACAGGATATGAACAGACACTTCACCAAAGAAGACATTTAGATGGCCAACAAGCACATGAAGAAATGTTCAAAATCCCTAGCTCTAAGAGAGATGCAAATCAAGACAACTATGAGATATCAT